TATATATATATATACAAAATGCACTAAAATATTATAAAATATTTCTATTAGACTTTGAAAAACGTGCCATTTGTGCAACTGCCGAGGTCCAAGCTCAATTACGTTGTTCCGTGAGCTTTCATCCTGGAAGGAATGCATCTGCACCCATGGAAATAATGAGGATCTATCAAGAGGCGGGTGGAGATGCGAGCAGAGCTATTATGTCTCACGTCGATCGTAAGAGAGTCACAAGTCTTTTCTTTTTTCATCAATTTTTAACTTTTAATTTAGATATCCATTTGATTGTGCCACTGCGATTAATGAAATTAATTTGATAGGTACGTTAATAAAAAAGGAGCAGCTCATGGAATTCGCCGATGCTACCAAATGTTATATCCAGTTCGACCTATTCGGCATCGAATGCTCTTTCTATCAACTGAATCCATTCATGGATTTTCTGTCGGATGCACAGCGTGTCAAACGTATTGCGCTGCTGAAGAAAGAGAAAAAACTGGACCGGGTTCTCATGAGTCACGATATACACACAAAGCATCGCCTGGTACGCGTCTCTCTAATATTTTCCGTTTTTCATGTAATTTTATAAATTTATATTTTCTTGATCCCAGCGACTAGACACTTGAAAATATTTTGTTGACTTTTAAGATACATTTTGGCGGACACGGATACTCTCATATCGCTAATAATGTTGTGCCAACTATGATAAATAAGGGCTTCACGACAGAAGAAATTGAACTGATAACAGCTGAGAATCCCAAGAAGTGGCTTACTCGGCAGTAAACCAAATTTTGCGAAACAAACTGTGCTCAATTATAAATTGATATTTTTAAGACTAACTATAAACTAATAAGGTACATTAATTATTTTATAATTAATTTTTATTAAATGTGATTTAATAATAAACAATACTAAAATGCTGTTCTATTCGATATAATGAAAATGCGAATCTGTATATCGACTCAAGTAATAAGATTCTTCGAGATATTAAGTTCTATAAAGGAAAAAAATTGTTTATTAAAAATTAAAAATCGTAACTTAATATAGTTCATTAATATTAATTGCAAGATTTATAACCTTCCTAGAGAACAGATTGTTTCTTTCTATACGAAACATAACGCATGAAAAAATGCAACGAGAGAATTTTTATAAATAATTTTAATCTAATGTAAACTATTATTACAGTAATCTATCTTTTTATCATAATTTTCGCTTAAAATTATTAGATTAATAATCATATAAATAAAAGACAATGTAAAGTTTATATTTTATTATAAAATACAATGACACATGACAATCTTTGGTAAAAGTCATTATCCAGCAGAAAGTATAACTTTTTGTTCCGCGAATGTTTCAAAAATTAAAAACGTACACAATACATTTGACATTCGTATTATTTTACTCTTTAACGAAAAAATAATTTATGAATTTTCTTATTATATTAGACGAGGTAAAAAAATTATATAAACTAACTTGATAACTATTGCACGGTTATCAATAACAATTTCTTTCTTTTTCTTCTCATCTTCCGTTTCTTCTCCCTTCTTTTTGTAAAGGGAAACGTCTTTTGTCATTTTTCTCGACATTCGCCTCACAGCTCCTCCTGGAATTGTGAACTTCTCACGGGATTCATAGCGATAGAGACCGTCGATACCATCGTTTTGCTGAAGTCCTTCGAGTAGTCTAGCAGAGGAATAAATTACAATTACATTTCAAAATACTCACAGTTGCATAGAATACACAAATACAAGTACTCGAGAAACAATAATAAAGCAAATTATTTTTAAATAGTTACTATATTTTATATAACATAGTATACATTATTTAGAGAACAATGAAATTAAACAAAGCTGTTTTGTATGACATTTATATAATATTTTATGAACTCATGTGAAAGTCATAAAAAGATAAAATAATCTTTCCCCTAAATTTTGAATTAAGTTCCATAATTTTTATTCTATAGATATTAATATAATTTAATTTTAGTTAATTAAAAAATTAGCGGTGAAGATTAGAACTACAATTAGTCAAATTGAGTCAATAATAAATTCAGCGAATTGCGATAAAAAAAACTCGAAGTGTTTTTGCTTGTTAGCACATTATTAATGATTAATTATATTATAAAACGATGATCGAAGGTGCAGAAGCATTCGGTGACGATTGCGACAATTTCACGTCGCCTGCTCGTCTCGATTTTATGAAAAGTGGAGTTAAGAACGTGCAGAGCGTGGAAGAAAATCAGTAATTAGGGATTGCGATTAATTGACGATAGCACATATATAAATATACACACAGGCTGGTCAGCGGTACCAAAGTGACGATCAAAACAGAAAGCAGCAAACTTGTGGTGCCCTTGACTTACGAAGTGAGCGAGTGGTCGCTTAGGCTCGCGCGCTCGGTCAGAGCTTGGTGAGTGTTACCGCGTGTCGTTGCTCGAAGTTACCTTGGGCGTAGTCATGCTGATGGGCCTGAAGACCGCCGGCACCACCCGGCGCACTGCTACCGAACGGCGTTAAGGTCGCCCTTATCCACTTGTAGCCGATAACACCGGCGTACGCTTGCCTGTACTGCTTGTTCATGATCACGTAGATAATTGGATTCACGCATGAAGCGAAGTACAATAGCAAGTATCCCAGAATGTGACACTCTGAAACAGTTTGACGGAACGATAAATAGTAATCTAAAATGACTATACGATTTCTACGAATTTCTTTTATTATAATTTATTATAATTTATTATACGAATTTATTATTTAAAATAATAATTGCATAAGCTGTAATTTTCAAGAGGATGAAAAGAAAATCGAAATGAAAGCTGATAAAAACTGAGCGCATAGGCAATGCTGCGATAAATGAAGATGAGAATGTGAAATGTTATTTCATTCGGAAATGAGATGCGCCATAAATAATAATGCTTACCGGGACATCTGACTTCCGCGTCGGCCACCTTAACAATGGTGATCGGCAAGTAGCACGCGAGGAAGCTGAGAAAGATTACCAGTACCATCTTTGTGAGCCTCCATTCGCTGCGCTTCTGTTTGAGTTCCCTGATATCCCTTCCGGGTGTATGAGGTGACTTTACCGTCGGTCCAGCATGTTTTCGCAATCGCGATTCTGATCTACAATTGATTAAATTTTAATTAATGTAATATAATCAAGGCAAAGGTTAAAGATTATATTGTAAACGTGATAAATATCGGAAATGTCAAATTACTTGTGCACCACCCAAAATATCTTAGCGTAACAGCCAACGATCACTAAGCAGGGTATCAGAAATCCCATAACGAAAAGGAATGTCTTGGAAGTGTTACCACGACGATCTTTGACGATGGAACAGGTCTCCAGATTGGGATCGTAATCGAATTTACCTGATGGAGTGATGAATAATAAAGCAAAAACATTTAAAAAATATATTAAATATATATATATATATGTATGTATGTAAAATAAAAAAATATTTATATATATAAGGCAGGAATATGATATATTTAATTTCTTATTTAATTATGAAAAATCATATGTCATATATTAAGAATTTAATGTAACAGTCTTATTCTGCCAAATAATTAAATAATATTGTTTATTTATTCTTGGAATATTTGTAACTTTATCGCTTTTAGCAAGTTTTTGCCGTTGAAATTTCTTTCTCCAATTATGAATAATTTTTTTTTTAAATAATAAAATAGCGACTCACCCCATATTCCTGCCAGCGTAGGTATCTGCATCCCATAAGAGAAGATCCAGCAAAAGATTATCATTGTGGCTATCCAATACTTCGTGTAAACCTTGCTATAAATATCATGATGCGCTATCATAATATATCTACAAAAGCAAAAGATTGAATTATTAATAGTTCCTTAAACTCGATCGAATCGAAGAAAATTTTTTAGCTGCATCAGACAGTAAAGACTGTAAAGAGTTAAGACGATAAAGCACACGCACCTATTGATAGTGATTGCTGCGACAGACAGGAGACTGACCCCGACATTTCCGTATCGCAAAAAGGGTACAAAGATGCAGAAGAATCGAATGTCTGCCCAGCTGGCGTTGACGAATCTGATTGAATCGAACGGCAACACCAGCAGACAGAATACAAAATCCGCGATGCATAAGCTGTGTTTAAGTAATAAAAATTTCATTTTAATCGACGTAAATGTTAGAGATAGTCGCGTTATAAAAAATTTAGACCAATTTCTTTTAGATGTATTTGTGCGAGATAATCATTAACACAATATTATTGTTGTACAAAAGCTTCTTCAATATATGTGTAAATCAGCTATTTATAAAGTAAATTTATAAGTAAATAATTTTGATAACAAAGTCATGTATATAAACTTGTTTATTATACCTTATAATAAAGGCCGCTGCAACGTTGCGAACTTTAGGATATTTACATAACGCCACGATCGTTAGTAGATTACCGGCTAAACCAATAATCATGATAATGATCGCCACTACTGCCGCAAAGGTTCTCAAAGGCTTTGGAAATCTGCAGCAAATAAAACGGTAATCGTAAAAAATAAAGTTTTTTTAAAAAATATTTTATTTTTTAAAAGTAAATACTTTCCAGCGAGAAATGAGTCATCGAATTGATGTCGAATTAATATAAATACGATGATTTCAACATCAATTTGACGTCGATTCGACGTTTAATTGACGATCATTTCTTGTTGGATAATTAACAATTTATTCATAAAGAATAAAATAGACTGTATGTTTCCTAAAATTATATATATCAAAAGATATGCATCAATTATATAAAATATATCATCTGAAAAATAAGCAAAAATTAAAAATTATACTGTTTGAATGCTTAAAAAATATTCATACAAACGAGAAATTTAGCTTTTAAAATCAGGAATACATGCGAAACTTGTTTGTTTATGTTAGAACAATGTATTTATTCATTGTATAAAATTGCTAATTATTGTTTATTTTCTACAAATAAGACTTTTTTTATAAAAAATTTCTTTGTACGAATACTTTTTGCTCTCACTGTATGTACCTAAAAAGAATGTACCTCGATAGTTCCGCGTCGACAATAGTGCTATGCGTGGCATTGTCCATGATACGTGGCAACCACGTGTCCGTGCCGTCCATTATGCCAGCCGTGCCGAAGGTGTCGAAGCTCTGATCTAGCGATTCCATTCGGCCTCGACCTGACCTCTCGAAGGCCTGCAACATTTACGAGCGGAAGAACGAAACTAAATATTTGTTCTAAATATTCGACTTGCGTTTCCTTAAAGGTGCATTCAAATGACACAGTTTTTCTACCGATCTGGTTTTTCTATCGTAGAACCACCCTAGTCAGCTGTTCGACGTAGCGGCCCAGCTGATCTGTTGAGTAGAGTTTTTTCTTTATATTTATGTATTATATATTATACTTTTCATTCAATAAAGAGTTGAACAGGGGATATAAATACTTTTAATAAGTTTAATAAAAAAAATACTTAATTGCGATATAGAATAAGATGTTGGATGTTTATAAAAATGAGAATTATATTAAAACATCCGTATAGAAGGAGATACAGATATTAACATTTGAAAATAATTAAAAATTTTTAATTTATCTCTTCTCACACGAAAAAAAACACATAAAAATCTAATATAACTTTAAACGAAATCTTTGTTTTATCACAATTGTATATGTATCCAGGGCTGAGTAATATTTAAAATAATTTCATTTTAAATATGTATTTAAAATAAAAATAGCATTTTGCACTTCCTATTTTAAATGGTTTTTGAAAAACCATTTTTATTTTACATTTGAAATAGAATCATGTCTATCATTTAACCATTTATAAAATAAGTAAATAGTTTTTTTATGTTTTCACAAATTTTTC